GCCTTTTTTTGTCATCAATTTAAGTAAACTTCAATAATTACAGTATTGCTTTAAAATGAGACAAGTTCCAAGTCTAATTTGCTATAAAGTAAATTAAATGCTATAAGTGTTTGATGGTAAACTAAAAACACTTCGCAAAGCATAATAAATACTTTGAGATTTTATCTAATCTCAAATTAGTGTTTCGCAACTCAAAATGCTACTGTATGCCTTAACTTAGTGCCATTTAGCACTGCTATATAATAGTAATATAACTAAGCTCGTGAATTATTAACTACCTCTACTTGTCTGGTTTTTAAATCGGACCTGGGATATAATGTGCATAGTATACGATATACGAATATTCTAAAAGAAAAATCTAGAGTAATCTAACTGATGATCATTACTAAATAAGGTATAATCATCGGTAACCAAATTTGGTGTATTCCCTGACTGTATTCATATATGGTGTGATCACCTCTAGCTTGATTCTAATTGGTCCGTTTAATTAATTATTAAAAATTTTTTTAATTTTTTTAAAATTGAATAACTTTTAATCTACTAGTCCGTTTTGGATGATTTAATAGTTAAAATGTCCGTCTTGATGAGACGATTCCAATGAATTCAAAATCATTAAAATCTAATTACAGAATCCTGTGATTATTAAGATTATTTGTATAAGTTTATATATAATAAAATTAGTTTTACTATACAGTATATAAAATAGTACAAAACCTTAATGATCTCAAGATTCTGTAATTGGATTTAGCAATTTTAGATTCATTAGAATTGTCTTATCAAAACAAACATTTTGATAGTTAAATCATCCAAATCTGACCAGTAAATCAAAAGTTATTTAATATTAAAGATTTATTATAATATATATAATTTATATATTATTTATTTTGTATATTTAATTATATATTATATATTATATATATGTGTAATGTGATCACTCAACTAGTACTCAGCTGAACCATATATCTATGGTAAAAATTACGTAATAAATAGCATGCCCCTTAGAAAAATTACATACTACTAGACAAACTAGTCTCTACTTCTATATTTATCTACCTAATATATCAAAATAAAAACACAATAAAAAAACTTCATTAATCAGTTTAATCATAAAGAGGTCAGAGCAAAGTTTTGAAGCATCATTTATATAAATATTTATTATATTTGAGACATGTATATGTATATGTTTGTTATTATATTCTAATTTGGAAGATAAACAATACTAACTTATTTGATATATGTAATGTTAATCATTTAAAAGAAGTAAGCTAAAACATCTACTTTTTATAAAAATTTCCTCAAAAAAAAGTAATAAGCCAACAAGAATATGTAAGATTCTTCTTGTAAGTTTTACAGTTGTAAAATCTAGTTTTTCTATTCCTATTAATTTAAGAATGCATATTGACTACTTTTATAAACTTGTTCACAAAATAAACCTTTTTGTTTAGATGCCAAATATTTTGGTAGTTCACTAGAAAAAAAACTTAATCCTAAAGAAAACTGTTTATTCTTTTAACACCTGCTTTTTGATATATCATTTCATTAACAACAAGCTGCTTCTACTTATAGAACCAAGTTTAGTATCCACTTTGTTGCTTTTCTATACATTTTGTTGTAGTTCAGTTTTTGTTATTATTGACTAAAAGATTATTAGAAAAAGTTTACATATAATTTTTTTAAATATTAATAGTGTATTTTAAGAAATATAATTATAATAACCTGAAGTAATCATCACTTCAGAATTAAGACAATTTAAAACCAAGATAGAAGTTAGTTATCATAGCATCAAATTTAGATTACATGAGATTTTGAAGTTGCTAAACATTTTTACTTAATTTATCTAAAATATAGCAATGAGGTGATGATCACCAGAAATTGTATACAATTGCGCAGTATATGCAATTATATATATAGTATCAACTATAATTATTTCAGAGTTTGTAATTGGCCAATCAGATTAATCGGTTTAGCACTCAAGAATAAATTAAAAATTAAAAATTCATTTCAAAATGCAAATGACCCGATCTTTTGAAAACACCGGTACCTTTACACAATGGACTGTGGGCTTTCATCTGTTCTTTTAATCAAGTTTTTCTGATCGGATCTGGTTGTACGAAAGCCCATATTCCTTTGTATAAAAATATATATATATATCTATTTTTAGGTATAGGTTTTAAATTTTTTTTTTTTGGCAACATTCATTTTTGAATGCTGTGCCTTTAATTCTCTACTCATTTTTCATAAATGTCAAATCAAGCTCTATTTCAATTATCCACAACTCTCGTCGGTCACGAAGCTGATGTAGGTACTTCATATCTATTAGTTTATAGTCTGTCAAATTGGTTAATTTTGTGTTATTCAAAGATCAAAGCTGTGTGTTGTCCTGACGGGAATTCCGTTGTTTCCTCTTCTCGAGACAAAACCGCACGTCTGTGGTCTAGAGCAGGCGAAAAAGCTTTTACCGAGAACAAAATTTTTCTAGGGCATGATAATTTTGTAAATTCTGTTGCGTACTTGCCTCCTACAGCAGACCACCCTGCAGGTGAGTGAATTATTTCAAACATATAATTGTAATTACATATTTTTTTGAACTTAATGGCTTTTAATTCCATTAATTATCCTCTTTATACCAATCAAAGGTCTTGTAATTAGTGGTAGCAGTGATAAAACCATTAACGTGTTTGATATCCAAAATCCACAAGAACCCGTATACTCATTAATCGGTCATTCAGACAACGTTTGTGCTTTGGATGTTACCCCTTCAGGTTTCATTGCATCTGGTTCTTGGGATAAGTATGTCTAAGAACTATCATTTTTTTACAGAATCAATTATTGTGACTATATGTTGAGTTCACATGTTTCTATAAATGTGCCATAGAACAGCTAAAATATGGAAAAATTGGCAGGAATCATACACTTTAGAAGGACATTCGCAAGCCGTTTGGGCTGTATTGGCTGTAGATGATGAGCGTATATTAACTGGTAGGTTGATTACCAACTTCAAAGCATCTTTCATCAATATTGAATTGAATTTTTATTGTGATTACCTTATTTTGTTAGGGTCTGCCGATAAATCGATTATAAAATGGCAAAATGGTAAACGTATACAAACATTGAACGGGCATACTGATTGTGTTAGAGCATTAGCTTTGTTACCAAATATGAGTTTCGCATCATGTGGCAATGATAGGTATTTTTTCTATAAATTCCGTTTTTTTGGTAATGACCATTAAACGCAATTTTTAATTATCATAACCGGTTTATAATACTCCAGTACACTCCGTATTTGGACTTTTTCAGGACAATGCATTCAGGAATTATACGGACACACGTCTTTTGTATATTCTCTCGGAGTTTTGCCTACAGGTGAAATTATATCTAGCGGAGAAGACCGATCTGTAAAAGTTTGGAAAGGTTCAGTATCAACTTATACACGTAAATTTATGCAACTAATATAAAAATAACAAAAAAACTTAATGAAATTTTCATTAGATGGGGAATGTATACAAACAATTATACATCCTGCGACTTCAGTGTGGTGTGTTGCTTCAATGCCTAATGGTGACATTGTCAGTGGTTCCAGCGATGGAATAATTCGACTTTTTACCAGGAATTCAGAACGTGTTGCTGAATCAAATATTTTAAAAGTTAGTTTGCCTCAGCGAATTCAAAATTTAAAGTTGTTAAAACCCACTTATTTATTAATAATAGCATACTTATTATTAGGATTATGATGAACAAGTCTCCAAACATGCGATCCCATCGTATGTCGCATATTATGATTAATACTATCATTAGTTTATAATTGTCACCATAATAAAATAAAGTTACTATCCTCGTAGGAATCAAGTTGGAGATTTGAAAAAAGACAAGCTTCCTGGACTTGAAGCACTCCAAAAACCGGGTTTGCTAGATTTCATATTTATAAATATTTTATATTTATTATTTTCCCAAATTTATTTCTTTATAATGCAATAGGTAACAAGGAAGGTCAAGTAATTATGGTACGTGTCGGCGATATAGTCGAAGCACATCAAGTAAGCAACCATAGTCAATTAATGGGCGCAGTATTTTCACATTTTGTTTGACATACAAATATAATTAATTATTAATTATTTGTATTGGACTCAAGTGGAATCAATCAGATCAATCATGGCATAAAATTGGTGAAGTGGTTGATGCCGTTGATCAGGGAAGAAAACAACTATATAAAGGAAGAGAATACGATCATGTATTTGATGTTGACATTGGAGGGGGCTCTCCTACGTTGAAATTGCCATTTAACACGAATGGTCGGTGAAAGGTTGTGACTTCCTGCCATTTGACTTTATTATAACTTAATTTGTTTATATGATATTAGATGATCCATATCAAGCTGCACGAGAATTTATATCGGCTAATGGGCTTCCAGAAGGCTTTACGGAACAAATTGTAGACTTTATCCTGAAAAATGCACCAGGCGCTACTATAAGTTCAGGATCACAATATGCTGATCCTTATACTGGTATGAATCGCAAATTTTGCGTAGACGATAATATGGGGTGAAGTTGTCCGAATCCAAGCCAATTTTCTTTAAAAGATTTTCGGACTTAAATATGAATGACTTAATAACAATTTATTCAATTTTGATAATTTAAAAGAGTTTATAGGATTAAAATTATCAAACTGATTAAATAGTTATCAAAACTATTCATGTTTAAGTTTAGAAAAAAATTTGTCTAGATTCTGTTGACTTTACCCATATGTATAAATTGTGTTCCTTATGTCTAGTATAATTTATAGGTGCATCTAGGTATACCCCTGGAGGTGTTTCAAGCAGTTCACACAGTTCGCAAACACCAATTTCTTCAGTTAGTTTAAACTAAAATTATGTGTGTTAAAGTTCATTATATCTGTATATATATTTACTTTCTTTTTCTTTTTTTTAAAAAAAAAATTATAATAAAATAAAACAAGACACAGAATAATTTCGCAGCGGGCTTGGACCCTTGGACTAGACCAGGACCTTCACCTGTTACAGGGTCTTCTTCAATTACATCTGGACCAGCCGGAATTCTTCCACATGTAAATTAGTTTACCATCATTTTTCGTTCAACCTGATAATTATTGATTTATGTTTTTTATTTTTAATATAAAAGAAAACTTATCTCAAGTTTGATCAAGCAAATATTCAAGCAATATTGAAAAAAATTAGTCAAATAAATGGCGATTTGCAACAGAATGAGTCTACAAATAACGCTGTTTTAACTTCTGAGGAAATAACTACACTCGAAAATTTAGCAAAATTCTTGCAGAATCCGACTAATTCCGGATCAAATAATGATCGACAACAGGAGTTTATTGTTATTCGTAAGATGATTACCCAGTGGCCGTTCGAATCTCGATTTCCCGGTAATTACATAATAAATCACTCAAATTAGTCAGATATTATGCAATTGACACGATACTTTTTTCATTGTTAGGAATCGATTTATTACGCCTTCAGATGCTATATACTCCGATCCCTGTACAATTTGTTGAAAATAATAACAATATCATTCACCTTCTGATTAACTGTACTGGTATGAATTCTTGGCCTAAGGATCATGATACTCCGACGAAAGATCAAGAAACAAACATGATGTTGGGTCTTAGAGCTCTGGCGAATTTATTTAATGTCGAAGAAGGAAAAGCAATTATAAAACGTGAAGCGTCTAGGGTAAGCAATTTCTTATTAAAGTATTAACAAAAATGGTCTTTTTAAAATTCAATAAACTTATTGGCATATTTCGAGTTTTTAGATCATAGACTTGATACCTAATACATGGAACAAAAGTACAAATAAAAATCTTCGAATCGCTTTAGTCACTGTGTTTCTTAAGTAATTTTTTTTTTTTAAAAAAAAGACTATGAAATATAAAATTTGTGTGATAGGATTTTTTTTTTTTCCTAAAATTTTACGTATTATTTTTTTTTTTAGTTTTTCGGTTCTATACCAGACAAATGCGAATGAGGACGTTATTCTTCAATTGATGGCAACACTAGTTGAGGTATTGAATTCTGTATAATTTTTAGTTATTTTTTTCATTGATAGTAATTATCTTTTCAACATAGCTTCTTGAAAACGAAAGTGAATCAGAAGTAGTGTATCGGGCTTTAGTAACTTTGGGAACGTTCGTACGTGCTCTATTTGTTATTTTTAGAAAATATCTCTAATGATTGCGTAAGTTTGTTAATTTAAATATATTCTACGTAGATAATCCAAAATCAAGCCGCCAAAGAAGCTGCGGAGGCATTTGAGGTTAAAAATGTGGTGAAAGTTGCATCTAATAAAATAAATGAAAGTAGAATCAAAAATATTGCTAGTAAGTTTTACATATACAATTTTTTACATAGTCTTTGTTTTTAGCGTGATAATTAATGATAAAAATTTTTTACACAAGACGAATTTACTCGGCTGGTTTAATTTTTATACATCGCGACTGCATCTTGTAAATTAATTTTATGTTAAATTTTTACCAAGAATCCGGTGTTTTTTGATCCTTTGTACATGATAATTCGGCTTTTTAAGCACATATTGTTAAGTATTTGGTGCTAGAGAAGTAATGTGAGTATGCATTAAAAGTTACACTTATACATAATGAATAAAGTTGATAAATGATCGTTTAATTTTTCTGATATCTTGTTAAGATTGTCGCAGATCATAATGAAACTTGTTTATTATAAAACCTACCCCTAAACCTTAATTCTATCCCTAAGAAAAATGTTAAAAAAATGCACCCCAAAATCTATTTTTCGATGGCCTGTTTATTTTATACTATCCCTCATTCATTTTAATCTGATTTCATTTTAATCTGCAACAATTGTTTTTCTCTTGTTGCAGATGTTAAGACCGTTTAATGTTTGCAATTGTTTGTATTGTTATAGAATTATTACACATCATGATATGAATCGCAAAAAGTTGGCAACTAATCGATTTGAAATTTTCGAAGAAACTAATCGTTAAATGACCAAACTTTAAAAAATTATCTTCTAAACATTAAATATAAACTAGCGTTACCAACCTAAAAAATTTCACTGGCCAATCAGATTTCAAGATCAGGTGTGACGCAAAAAATCAACCCAAAAAATCGTTCATAATTCCATAATTCAACCTTTTGTCTATGAAACCACCTGCGCACTAACAAAAAGTTTTCCTTGCGAAATTTTGGTACTACGAGAGCTCTTTCTAAATAGCAAAACCTAACACTAATCTAACAACGAAGTTTTTTTTAGGTTGGTAACGCTAGATCAGTTTAAAAAACAAATCAACTGGTCGATATTTGGGATGTTAAGTGGTCCATGGCAGTGTTGGCCGATGACTTTAAATGTCCTATATGATCTTTATGACCTGTCATAGATCATTGGTCATAAAGAAGGTTGATATGAATTTATGACCTTTTAATATAATTGGTCCGGAGCGTAGCGAAGGACCCTTAGTGTCTACGCAAGGTGATATTAAAGTTACCTTTTTGATGCATGCCGATCAAAATAGTTACTTTTTGATGCATTTGCATAAACATTATGGTGATTGCATCAAGAAAGTAATTTGGAATTTTTTTGTCTGTCCGCACGCGTGTCTTTTTACTTTAGTGTAACAAAAACATGCACACTCACGCGTTCGTGCAATATAATGGTCATCATGTGCCGGACACGCATTAATCTAGTAGTAAAAAAAAATTTTACTAATATTTGATATAACTTATGATCAAAAGTTATATAAATATACTGTATAACCAAGGTTATATCAAAAAAAATATTATAAAAAAGAAAAATGGCTAAAGCCAGATGTGTTTATATGTTTTTTTAATATTTAATTAAAATTAGAGTAAAGGTTTATTAAAGGTTAAGGTTAGAGCAAGGTTTATAGATAAATTGTTTTTTTTTTTTTTTTTTTTTTTTAACTATCGGCAGCCTCGCTGGTATCTTTATTAGATCAAAGCATATACTGTATATACATATATTTAACTATCTAAACTATAGATCTGACATTCCTCAGCTACCTCTATGGATGCCCAAGGATGGTCTGCCTCACCGGTTAAGGCTAATATTCATACCGGAAGGTTGCACCAAGCTAGCCATTAAAGCCATACCAAAATGGCTTCACACTATTTACGATAAAGTCTTTAACCGCAGCAAACCAAGTATTTTCTTTTCTGCAGGCTTCCTTCTCTTTAGTGATTTCTTCTTTCTTCTTTACCTTTCCTCTAGTTTGCTCTTAGCTCTAATTACATTCCCCACGATTCACATTTGACTCATTTCTGCTGGTAGCTATTTTTTCAATTTTGGGTCTCTTTTCTTTCTTCTTTTTCGAGTTTATCACATTTTCCTTTTCCCAATCATTAAGGAATGCACATCTTTGTTTCCAGATGTTTTCATAGAAGTAATTCCAGGCTGAGTTAACTGCCGTGTCGAGATAGCTTCTGGCTTTTTTTAGAGATTCTACTAATTCGAGAATTTTCTTTGCGATTTCGTCTTTAATCAGTCCTTTAAGAATGCCCGCTCTGGTCTTGTTTTTTTCCTCTTTTGTTGAACCCCAAAGAGAGCTTTTGAGTTGAGTCTTATCAAGACGACTGTGGGTTTCTTCTGAGAGAGCTGTCCAAGCCAAGTTCGATGCTAGCTGCTCTGTTTCTATCTACTTAATTTCATATTTCTCGCATGAAGTTAAATGTTCTTGATCTTCTTCTACTCCTTTTGCACATAATTTACAATTTGGACTATTATATAGATCTGGTCTTCTAGTTACCAAGGTTTTAAGAACTGGAAGTCTCTCATGTAGGCATTTGACTAGCACTCCCAAACGTTTATTCCTTCTCACGCTTGTACATCTAACTCCATTTTGGTTTCTAATCTTTTTCTATAAAATAGACCAATATTGGCATTATCCCTCGTTATCGGGTTCAACTTTCATAATTGCTGATGTAGATTTCCATTCTATCCCTGTTTTGAGCTCAAGTGTTAGTTGTAAAAATTCTCTCGTAGGAGCTTCTACTACTGTTTCTTCCTAGCACAAAGAGACATTCGATTCTTGTGGAGGTGTATCTATAATTCTTTCTCTATCTACTATTCTAGATTCTATCTTTGCCAGTTTATCTGCCATATTGTTCTACTTATTTCTACTATGACCTTTTACCTTTTCTAATTCTAACTGTAATTCTTTCATTTTTGCTATATTTATAATACATTTCACCAAGTCATAATTCCCTACTCTTAGCCTTTGTCTAGCTGATTTATTCCAATTTTTACTTTCTAATCTAGCTAAGGCTGCTGCACTGTCTGTATAAATTTTTACTATCTTTCTTCTTGGTGTAACTAAAAGTGCATACCAAATTCCCAGTAACTCCACTTTTGTTGAAAATGGCCAGTTTTTTGCTCCAAGGTATCCCTCATCAATGACTTCCTCCTTCTCCTCATCTATGAGTATCTAGCCTGCTCCCATTTTATCTGCCTCTGCTTGAGTTATTTTTCCATTTCTTCTTAAAGAACCATTGGTATAAAAAGTAAAATGAGACAAGGAGCTGCGTTGAAGTTTTTGGTTCTTCTCTATTAAGTAATTCTGTAAAGCCAGGCTGATTTATTGGTTTCTAATAATCTCTGTATCCAAATCATAGATCTGGATGTCCTGCAAAACTTTCTCATTTATGGGAATCTGAAGCTTATCATAAGTTACTGGTGAGAACCGCATTTTATGATGAACTTTAAGGGCCTTCCCTTTCTGTTTGTCCACAACTTTTGTTATTGACCCTTGAATTTTTCCTTTGCTCATTCGACTTCTGTAGGAGTTTTCTTCTTTCTCTTGATCTAGTTCGCAACCTTCACATCTTTCAAGTCTTATACTTCTTGTAACTTGCTCTTTGTTTACTTTGTAGTGTTTTGTAAGATATCTTTTTCCTGGTTTGTTGAGGATTTGTCTGATTTCTGGGTAATGGTTTTCTTTTGCTTCTTTAGTTTTGACCAAAATCCACTCTTTTTTCCTTCTGTCTTCCTCTAATGGGTCTGGTGTAATCTGCAGCACCCAAGCACTAGGACCACCTAGTCTATATTCTGGTCTAACCAGTCTGTTTTCTTTATCTTCAATTACTATTTCTTCGATTATACAAAACTATTTCGCACTTTTTCCACTGCTTGACCTATTTCTTAGCATCTTCAGTTGCTGCCATGTTATTAAGTGATCTCCAGACTGTGTTAATAGTTGTTTGAGTGAGATTATATTAAGTTTCCTGAGCATTGTTGCTACTAGTAGAGTAAAATTCTTTCCTAGAATATTTGAATTTAAGGTTCTCTGTTTCTAATTCTGCATTGTTGAACTTGAATATAACATTTAGCTCCCTAGCCTTCAACATTGTTAAGCAGGCCAAGTTGTTTTTCCAGAGACGTATACAAGTCACAGGCAGCCCTTCAAACCAAGTGTTTTTAGCTGCACCCAGCAGCTAAATACCTTGACTTAGTCTTAATGAGGTTAGTATTTCTTTAGGACCTGCTGTATTTAGTCGCAAGTGCAGGCTAAAAACTTGCTTTGTTAAAAGTTGATTCCATAGTGAGTTGCAACTTCCAATGCTTCTATGCAAAATTGACTGTTGCTTATAGTTCTTGCTAGCTCCATTCTATGTTTTGTCAAAACTAATATTGGTGCCTGTAGATTATCAATTGTCTTTTTCGTGAACCTGAAGACTTGTAGCATATAGCACAGTTTTGGAACTATGCACATATTGTTTATATAAGATGCTTGCGCAACTGATAATTTCTTTGGATTTAGTATTTGGACCGTTGAATATACAATCTCCTTTGCTCTTGCCTTAACCAATGACTCACCTAACTTGTTGTTAAGCCAAACTTCTAAGAATCT